CTTCCTCTTCTCCTTCTCCTTTTCCTTCTTCTTCTTCTCCTTCTCCTTCTTCTCCTTTGCATCAGGACACAATCAGCTAAAGCTATTTACACATTGTTAATTATTTTGACAAATATCATGCGAATGAATATAAATAAACAATGGCAACTGCCCGAGTACCTGAGTTGCCATTTACTAATATCTGCCCTATTTTAAGATATTTGTGGAAACTGCATTTTTCCAAAAGCTTATATTGCTTCAACTATTAATTTTCAAGGGGAATGAAGTGAAAATATGTGCATTACAATTAACTGACATAGGATGAATAATGGATACACAATTGTAAAGTTATTATGACTTAAGCGATACTTAAGATGTATTGAGGATAAAAAAGATCAATAAATATACCCCCCAAAAAAATCATTATTTATGAGAGAGTCGATCTAAAACTTTATTTCGACTTTCTACGATATGTTCTTAATTCTACACATTCTCTCTCACTCTCTCTCCCTCTCTCTCTCTTCTTTTTCGATCCCCTTCCCTCCCCCACTACACACGATACAAAAAAAAAATCAGACTTTATACCGTACATTAGAGATAATATAAACCCCACATCATTAACATATTAACCTCGTATCCTCACTTTATTTATTTTTTTTTCCATTTTTTTAAATTATTATAATCACAGCTGAGATAATGAATGTCCGTTTTTTTATTTTATATCACTTTTTTTCTTTCTTTCTTTCTTTTTTTTCTTTTTTTCCAATGTGAACCTTAATTCGACTATATTTTTCTGACCAATCACAGCAAGACAACCTCCTCTCTTAACAGACGGGCGCCTCCAATAGCAAAAACTAATGATAATAATGTTAATAATGATAATGATGATTTCCATAATCGTAAAATAAACAGAAGTTAAGCGCTACCAAGTTTCCTGAAGATTTCTCAAGATTTCTCCTGAAAAATCCTAGCTTTTTTGTTTTTTTGCCTTCGCGTGATCTCAAAGAGGTTTCCTTCTTTCTTTCGTTCCTTCCTTCCTTTCTTTCCTATTTCATCTTTTTCTTATTCTTCTTTTGTTTCCTTGTCATCCTCATCATCATCTTCTCCTTTACTTCTTCTTCATCTTCCTCTTCTTCTCTCTTTCTTCCTTTCTTTCTTACATCTTCTTCCTTTCTTCTTTCTTCCTTTTTCTCTTTCTTTAAGCCTCCAGGATCTAGAAGGAAATCAAAAGCCGACGAAGACTCACTTGGAAGGCGAAGTGTCAGAGCGAGGGAGGACTAGCACAGACTAGGAGGGACCTGCGCCAAAAAAATAAAAAATAAAGTCAAGGTTAAAAATAAATCTACGATTGGAGTCGTGGTGATGATGATCTACATTATGATTGGGGATCATTACAGTATAATGTAGTGTCATTACAGTGACGGTGTCATGCATAGTATCACAGTGTCTCGTGCTATGAGGCAGCAGATAATGATACTAGGTGACATTTTTTACCGATGATATCCTATGTCGTGATATAAATTTACGTTACAGGATATAGGGACAAGCAGTCAATTATGTTTTGTATTGTTAACACCGTAACATGTCGATATTTTGTACGCATGTGGCTCGTGCGCCCGCCAACGAGGCAGAGAGAGAGAGACAGAGACAGAGACAGAGAGAGAGAAAAAGAGAAAGAGACAGACAGACAGACAGACAGACAGACAGACAGACAGACAGACAGACAGACAGACAGACAGACAGACAGACAGAGGGAGGGAGGGAGAGAGAGGGACCGATCGCCCGACCACGAGAACGGCAAGAAAGCCTACGAATTTAACAGGTTGGCGTTTCCTTCGCCTTCAGCCTTAAAGTAGTGGTTCTTATTAATTTTAGAGTCACGGACCTCTTTGAGAATCTCTTTAACGCCACGGACCCCCTTCCTTTCCCCAGAAATAGTCACAGAAACACAACTTTGCTTGCAATGTGTCATAATGTACTTGATTTATTGAGATGTGATTGCCACACAAAGTATTGCCAAATTTCGTAGTAACAGTCTAAAAACACTCCTTTTATGCATTCATTGTAATCATGAAATAAATATAATTTTTCACCTGATCCTCGCGGACCCCCTGAGACCCATCCATGGCCTTAGAGTAATGATAAAAACAATCGCCAGTGATGATGATAATGAGAATAATAGTAATAACACTCGCATTAATCGTTATAGCAATAATAATAATAATAATAATAATAATAATAATAATAATAGTAATGATGATAATGATAATAATAATAATGATAATGATGATCATAATAATAAGAAGAGGATGAAAATGAAGAAGAGGGAGGAGAAGAAGAAAGACCTTTAGCCATTCCACCTCCCCCTTCCAAAGGCTCCCTCGGCCTGGCACGCAGGCGACCCACCTACAGAACGCGTCAGTGTGAGGAGGCGTGAGTCCTGCTGCCGAGCTTCTGGCATTATCTGCAACGAACGAAGAGATAATTGCATACGTGTATAGGGGAGAAATATAAAGAGGCAGGATCAATATTTTCATGAAGACAACTACGTTTGAAAAGGACAAAGCCAGCCGGGCTGTCGGCGCTGCCGTACCTGACGAAGGCGTGCGAGTACCAGGGGGCGTCGCGTGGGTCGGGCGGGCCCGAGGGCACGTGCTGGTCCTGGTGGGCGTGGGCGTCCCTCGGGTCGCCGTGGTCGAAGGAGAAGACGTGGTGCTTGGTGGGCGTGGCCGCCGAGTAGGGCGGCGTGATGTAGGGCGAGTACTCGGGGTAGTCGGGGACCTCCTGCGTCGGCGACGCCTTCCACGGCGCCTCCAGCTGGTCCAGCTCGGGCGACGAGGCGCCCTTGTGCACGCCGGCGGGGGCCGCCCGCACCGCCACGGGCGTCGCCACCGCCACGCCGCCGCCCTCGGCCACGCTGCCGTGAGCCGCGGGCGCCGCCGGCGACTTGCGCCTCGTGTCCGACGGCGACTCGGACGCGCGGCCGCTGCGCGCGGGCGGCGCGGCGCCGGCGTGGGCGGAGGCGGAGGCGAGGGCGGAGGACGCGGGCGCGGCGTCGTAGTAGCCCCAGGCGGGGTCGCGCGAGTAGTCGAGGCCGTGCTGCAGGCGGACGGAGTAGTGGTGGTGGTAGTGCTGCAGGTGGGCGTAGGCGGAGGGCGAGGCCAGCGAGTAGGGCGAGTGGGCGGCGGGCGCGGCGTAGGACTGGTGGTAGTGGCCGCCGTTGAGCGCCGGAGGGTTCATGTAGGACGCCGCGGGGTCCGTCTGCGGGAGGGGGGAGGGGAAGGGGGTCAGTACAGGACAGGAGAGGAGCAGAGGGGAAGGTCCCAGCCCTTTCAGTGCCTATTTTCCCTTTTTTTTTATTTTTATTCATCTTTCTATTAAGTTTTCTTTTTTTCTTTATCCCATTCTCTCATATCCCTCTTTTTCCCACAGTGAGTCATGCATTACTCATCAGCATAAGCCACGCCTCACATCCCCGTCGAAGGATACTCTCATGCATTTTATCCCCCCATTACAACATGCGTAACTCACCACCGCTATTCATGCTGCCGCGCCATGCATTATTTAGATGCATGACTTCCGAAAGCATTCCCGAGCCGACTTCGCTGCATGTGCGGTAGCGCAGGCTTCGGCCCGGGTCAACCTTGATCATGCACGAGATAACCAACCCCGGGGAACAACGTGCATGACACCCAGCCTAGTCATGCGTAAAGGGCTCTCCTCAACCTACCTGGTCCCGTCATGATCTGCAGATGGGATGCATGGACGCGATGTGCATGATGGTCCGAGATTGCATGAGATTAGATTGGAAAGAGAAGTATAAACCTTCCTACCTGATCCGTCATGACCCTGGCTAGTAAACAGGGACGCGCTGTGCATGACATTTAGGGCCTGTATAACATTATGCTTTTAAAAGGGAGGCAGAGCTACCGTACCTGATTGCGTCATGCACCGTGGGCGGGACGCATGGACGCCATGAGAACGAGGACTGGGAATTCGATTACTTTAGCGACGAATACATGAATAGCTGAGGCCCCCACCTGATAGGTCATGACCTGCGGGTAGTAGGCGTGGACGCGGTGCGCGTGCGTGTCGTAGGCGAGGCCGTACTGCAGCTTGGACTGCATCGTGTAGTAGTGGTAGAGCCACGAGTTGGCGCGCAGCACGGCCGCCTCCTTCTCGCCCAGCACCTGGTTCGTCGCCACGATCACCGGCTGCTGGCTCTGGCCGCCGCCGCCGCCGCCGCTGCTGCTGCCGCTGTTGCTGCTACTGCTGCTACTGCTGCCGCTGCCCCCCGAGGGGCTGAGGGCAGCGACCTGCTGAGCGCCCTGCGGGGAGGCCTGGGGGGGCGTCTGGCCCGCCTCGCCGCCGTCCTTGAGCTGCAGGACGCAGTGCACCCAGCGCCACGTGCCGCCCGCCGCCTGCAGCCGCAGCAGGACGATGCACGACCGGTCCTGCTCGCTCGTCGTGACTGCGGGAGGAGGCGCGGGCGTCAGCGGCGGCGGTGGAGCGGACGAGACCGACCGCCGCCGCTGACGCCGACCAGGGCGCGACGCCGCCGGGGGAGGCCGGCCGGCACGCGCGGGAGGGAGGGGGAGGGGGTACAGGGGAGGGGGCAAGGAGGGACATGGTTGAGGGGAAGAGGAGGTTAAGGCAAGGAAAGGGACTTGGAGGATGAGGTACAAACGGCGCTCATATATATATGTGTGTGTGTTTGCTTGTACGTATATAAATATATATATATATATATATATATATATATATATATATATATATATATATATATACATATATATACATGTATGTATATATATATATATATATACATACATACATATATATATATATATATATATATATATATATATATATATATATATATATATATATATATATATATATATATATATGTATATATATATACATATATATATATATATATATATATATATATATATATATATATATATATATATATATATATATATATATAACATTTATTCACTTATTTATATATGTATACCACACACACATATCTATCCATCTATCTATAATATATATATATATATATATATATATATATATATACAAATATGAACACACACGCCCACACACACACACACACACACACACACACACACACACACACACACACACACACACACACACACACACACACACACACACACATACAAATATATATATATACATGTGTGTGTATGCATGTATATATATATATTCATACATATATATACCTGTATATACATATACATATATATACATATATATACATATATATATATATATATATATATATATATATATATATATATATATATATATATATATATATATCTATATATGTGTGTGTGTATGTACATATATTATATATACTAAAAGAGATAATTAGCAATATATACCGAACAAGAATACACCTAACAACTAAAAAACACCCTCACACACACACAAACAGATAACCAAAATAAAAATAAAAAGTATACGTACAAAACACACGCAGCACCCACCACTTCCCTCCCCCACCCACACATACACATACAGACAACTTAAATAAAATCATAAGTACACCCCCCCACACCCACCCACCCCCATATACACACACACTGCAATGCACTCACTGAGCCTGTGCTTGGTCTGCGCCTCCCGCATGTTCTCGGGGTGGATCAGGTGGTACCACGAGACGCCGGCGAGCGAGGAGCGGTTGTAGCCCAGGTAGAACTCGCCGCTGGAAGCAGAAGGGGAACGGGTTAGAGGATTCTCGAATATCGTTTTCCTAGCATTCTACGGAGATCGAAGTTGTCAATATGTGTTGGTAAAATTTAAAGTTATATGAGCTAGAATTCGCCGCTGGAAGGAGAAGGGAAGCGGGTTAGATTATTTTAGAATATCATTTTATGGAGATCGAAGTTGTCAGTATGTGTTGATAAAATTTAAAGTCATATGAGGTAGAACTCGTCACTGGAAGGAGAAGGGGAACGGGTTAGATCATTTTAGAATATCATTTTCCTAGCTTTCTATGGAGATCGAAGTTGTCAATATGTGTTGGTAAAATTTAAAGTTATATGAGCTAGAATTAGTCGCTGGAAGGAGAAGGAAAATGGGTGAGAGCAACACGGCAGTGGAGATTTAGTAGTACATAGACTATATTAGAAAACTAAATCTGACACTTAAATTACTTTATCTCTTCATCCCTTTTCCTCAAACATAGATGTATATAAATCGCTCGAATATAATGTATATAAATCGGCTATCAACTGGTCAGCTGATAGCCCAAATATCAGTGGCTGGGTGAGATTATGATTGTTGGATTAGTAAATTAACATAAAGATGCATAAATAAGTGATTAGATAGTTAAATTAACAATCGGCGCCCAGGAAAGCAAACGTTATTACTATTTCTTGATACACAGAAAATGTAAAAGATTATTGATTTCGCGAAATGATTGGATAACGAAGGTAATTAAATTATGAAAGGGACTGATAAATGTAGTAATAATCACATTGGTGATAATAATGATATATGATTATGACGATGACGATTATAATCAAGATAAAATCAATGAAAGATCAGATTTATTACAGCATAAATATTACAAATTGTCTTCATATTCAAAGTACTGAAAACCCTATTATTCCAAAAGTGTTTAAAGTCCATAAAACTCAAGTATATAACGCACCCGAAATACTCAAAGCCAAAATGTTCAAATTATCCAAACACCTCAAGTCCTTACGCTGTTTATTGTCAGAAATCCAGAATTCTGTTCCAGGCGACTCCCACCTCCGTCCCTGCCAGTGATATTATTATTGCCATTAAAAGTATTTCTAAAAAAAAAAGGAACTGATTGGAAACTTAAATCAATCGAGTCTAAATCTATGCCACATGTTTCGAATATACAAATTAATTATGTGCTAATCTTGAAATACAATCTTATAGGTATATAATGCTATATAATGGCATACGGATTATACCAGAATGTATATATTAAGGTAGAATTTTGCATTATTAGATCATGAAACATCTTATATTCTAATGTATACATGTATTAGATACCGATATTATGTATATTTAGCCCCTGAAGTACTCCCCGATGTAGTATTCAGGGGAAATAATAATGTATCATTTAGAAAAGCTAAAACGTTTGCTTCTTTTACAAGGATTTAACAAGGTTGAAACGACAATACTATAAGACTGACAAAACAAAAAATTATAACAACTGCACCGACAACAACAAAAAACAACAATTACAATCACAGCACTGGTAACCAATAGAAAAAAAAAAGAAAAAAAAAAAGATACAATGAAATAAAATAAAATAAAAACAACGACAGCATCAACAAAAACAACAACAACCACAACCATGTCTCACGATCGCCTTGTATATTCATGACCCATTCATAAAATCCGCCATTTACGCCACCCATGTTTGTCCTGATCTCATGAGGGCTTCAGACATTGTTTATGCAGGGCGTATAATACAGTCATTGTGGGGGCGATGTAGAATACACATGGAGACGCTTATGCATGGATTTCGTTACACATATTGCAGGCGTGGGAACGAGCGCTTGCAAAGGGTTACTGAACTTCGAATTTTGTTATAAGTCCCATTGGTGTTGTGGTTAATATTTGTGGTGTTGATGATGGTAGTAATGGGAAGGATAAAGATAGAAATGGTAGCAATACTAATACGAAAGATAATACCGTTAATGATAATATGAAAGATGATGGTATTAATAGAACAGTAGAGTTGTGTTGATTGTAATAATTATGATAATGAAAATTGTATTGATACTGATGGTATTGGCACTAACGGTTGCTATGGTGATGTAAACGTTATTATGAATAATATGGATAATAAAGAATGTTAACAATGATAGTGGTCATGATATATTAGTGATAAGAATCAATATCATCACCATCATTACTATGATTGTTATTGTTGTCATTATCATTATCATTAGTATTTGTACTAATTTTATCATCTTTATCATCATTATTGTTAACATTATTATCATCATTGTTATTATTATCAGAAGTACTATCATTATCATTATAACTATTATAATCTTTTCGTTACTATTGTTGTTATTTGTATCAATGTCATTGCTATTATCATTGTCATTATTGCTATTGCCTTTATCTTTTATATATACCTTTATTTTTTATCATTGCTAGTATCATTATTATCAATATTGTTATAATAATTATTATGATTATTAATATAAGTGTTGCCAATATTAATATTGTCATGATTATCATTATTAATGTTTTTATTATTATTATTATTATTATTATTATTATTATTATTATTATTATTATTATTATCATTATTATTATCCTCATCATTATTATCATTTCTCCTATTATTATTATCATTATCATCATCATCATCATCGATATTATTTCTAATATTATTATCATTATTATTATCAATGTTATTATTATCACCATTATTATTATCATTACTATTATCCTTATTGTTATTATCATATTATTATTACTGTTACTATTATTATTGTTATCATTATCATTATTATCATTATCATTATCGTCATTATCATTATTATGACTATCATCATTATCATTATTATTTTCATTATCATTATCATCATTATCATTATTATTTTCATTATCATTATCATCATTATTATCATTATCATCATTATCATTATTATTATCATTATCATTATCATTATCATAATTCTTATCATTCTTATCATTATCATTGTTATCAATATTATTACCATAACTATAATTATTGTTATTGCTATCCTTGTCATTATTACCATTAGCATTTGTAGCAATAACAAGGGTATAATCCTCACTATCACTACCGTCACCACAATCACTGTCATTGTCATCACCATAACCCTTCAGTGTCATGACATGTCATGTCATATCAAGTCATGTCATGTTACTTGTCCTAATCATATATTTTCGACAAGAAAAATATTTCCCGAATGAAATCATCAGCAAACGAAAGAGAAGCCATTGCCACATTAAAAAAAAAAAAAAAAAAAAAAAAAAGTTTTCTTAAAAAAATCATTCTCAACAAAGAAAAGTTACAGAGGTCGTGACCTTTTATTCTGGGAAGAACTCGGAGTGCACTTTTAAGGGAGAGAAGGGGGGGAGGGGGAGGGGAAGAAGGGGAAAGAAAGGGTGGGAAAGAGAGACAAGGAGATAGGAGGGAAGGAGGGGAGAGGGAGGGAGGGAGGGTAGGGGGAAAAAAGTAGAAATGGAGAGAGAGAAAGAGAGAGAAACTGATACATAAATAGACAGATATATAAAGGGAGAGAGAGAAAGAGAGAGAGAGAGAGAGAGAGAGAGAGAGAGAGAGAGAGAGAGAGAGAGAGAGAGAGAGAGAGAGAGAGAGAGAGAGAGAGAAAGTGAAAGAGAGAGTAGGAGAAACGGGGAAAGAAAAGATGAAAAGACAAATCTGACAAACTGATTCACAGATAAATATAAAAAATATACGTATATATAAGGAAAGAAAAAAAATGAGAAGAACAGACTAAAGACACAAAAAGACAAGAAACACACAGCTCGAAATGAAAACAGACCGATAAAAAGAATCGGAAAAGGGCAAACAGAAGATAAAGGCAGCCTTGCTTTACACAAACGGTCCCTGCCAGTCCGCCGCGTCAGTCTCCAGGCGGGACCGTCGTTCACATCCGTCTCCGTCATGGAATTCACTCGACCGGAAACTATGACTGTTTCATGGCGCGATTCTTTTATCTACGTCATCTCCCGCACGCTCACTCACATGTACACACACACACACGTACACACCCACGCACCCAAACACCCACACTCACACGTGAACGCATTTCTAAAGAGCTTAGGATGTGAGTACGTATGTAAACTTGTTCGTTCACATACATAAACATACAGACCCACTTACCCGACGTATATTAATCTCTTTCTTCCCATCTACCCATCCAGTCACTCCCTTGCCTCTACACACACACACACACACACACACACACACACACACACACACACACACACACACACACACACACACACACACACACACACACACACACACACACACACACACACACACCCTTGCTTTTACACATCAATACACAATATATCCTTTCCTTCTAAACACACGTGCTAACCCCCCCCCCCCCACCTCCACACCTATAACGCGATCCCCTATCATCTCTACATACACTGCATATATTGTAAACACAACGCCCCACCCTTAACCACGCCCACACATACTTCATCCACATACTATATCACATACCCCATTCACACAGTCCACACCCTTTATATATATATATATATATGTGTGTGTGTGTGTGTGTGTGTGTGTGTGTGTGTGTGTGTGTGTGTGTGTGTGTGTGTGTGTGTGTGGTGTATGTGTGTGTGTGAAAATATATATACATTAATGTGTATGTGTATATATATATATCCCATATACATCCCCATAGACCCCCCCCCCCCTTCTCCCCAAACACAGAGTCAAAAAAAGCGACGAGTATTTAACATGTCATTCTTCACACGACCCTCATGCTCGTCGCCCAGTATCTTTGCTTTATTGGCACGCAAGAAGGGGGGGAGGGCATGTCCGTCGCACTTATACCCCGAGGTCAGGCGAGGTCACGCGTTTGACCACATCTGAGGGCTCACGTTTAATCAGAAGGGAGGATAATGTTGGCTGAGATATGGGTTGAGGGGGGGGCGGGGTGGGGGAGGGGAGGGAGGGGGACTGGTCTT